TTACACTTCCAAGAACACTTCCACACAGTCACACAAAGGTGGCATCAAAACCCTGGGTTATCCTGATGCAAGGACACTACAGTGAAGGATTCCTGCCAAAAGTGTCATAACTGAATTGAACCCTAACTCTAGGTGATCCAATTACAGAAAATAATTCCAAGGGAAAAAGAACACCCTAAAAGACAACACAGGAACATGATCAACAAAATGTGGACTATGAAATACTAAGGAAAAAGGACCCATTTTCATCAAGCAGGTTACACGGCCCATAGACTTCATGTAAGAGACATGACATCCAGGGCTGGGGATTTAGCTCAGTGGTGCCACCACCTGCCTTGCAAGTGCAAGTTCCTGAGTTCGATCCCCGGTACCAAAGAAAAAAAAAGAGACATGTCATCCAAATACGATATAGGAACCTTGTTATGAGCCAAATTCAAATAAACATTAAGAAATAATTTAGGTTACAGGGAAAATTTTCAACTGCCTGCTAAGGAATTAATTTTTAAAACGCATAATAGTGTGGTCATGGTCACATGTTTAAAAGATTCCTTCTTCTTGGATATTGAATTATTGTAGATGAAAGGATACGATGTTTAAGATTTATTTCTGGGGGCCGGGGATTTAGCTCAGTGGTTTCACCGCCTGCTGCGCAAGTGCAAGGACCTGAGTTTGATCCCTGGTCCAAAAAAAAAAAAAAAAGATTTCTTTCTAAGTAATCTAAGGGTGGCCAGGAGTGGCGGCACATGCCTGTAATCCAAGCTCCTTGGGAAGCTGAGGTAGGAAGATTGAAAAGTTCAAAGCCAGCCTGCGAAACTTAGCGAGATGCAGGGGTTGAGGATGCTCCTCAGGGGCAGTGCCCTTGTGTACCCAGGTTCAATCCCCAGTACTGTACCAAAAAATAAATAAAAAAATCTAGGGGTGGTAGCAGTGGTATTGAAATAAGGATAGTCCTGAGTTGATAATTATGGAAACTGGGGGTTCATTATACCATTCTTTCTCTCGTACGATGGAAATTTTATCTGCATGTAGTTCAGTTTCTTCCTGAAGCCCTGGACCCCAATCTGAATTTTCTACCCTTCTATCACAACTTTAGACTTGGGTTCCGACAGGCCTGGGAAAACTGTTGCTGGTTTCCCTCCTGGCGATGCGCTCTGCCAGGCACACCAGCGCCTTGCAGTCACCTTACCTTGTAGGCCAGGGGTGCCATGCTGCTGCAGCCACTCGTGCAGAGTGCGGGAGGCACTCCAGTGGCTGGGGGTGGGGCAGCACTCTCCCACCACCAGGCCTGCCACGTGGATCTTTGAGGATTCAAACCACTGCAGACGGAGAGAAGAGATTGTGAGGGAGCTAGGGCCCACCATCTCCTGAAGACATTTCCTCACTGTCTGGCCATAAACCCTCTACCCAGCCGCCCTTATTCCTTCAATGCACCAAGCATTTTGCGCTCTTCGTTCTGCCCTACAGTAAATGCTGTATACACAGACCCAGGGTGCCCAACTGATTGCTGAAAATGGCAATTTCCTGTTATTCTTCCATTTCCTTTGTCCAAAATTGAGAACACAAATCCCCTTTTCTGTGAGGCACTCCACTCACCCACTGTATCTTATGCTTCCACCTAAGAACTCAACGTTTTTATCCTCACATCTTTTTTGCTATTTACACTGTATATGTATGTATCTCTTACAAAATGGAAATTCTCAAAAGCAAAGTGCCCGATACATAGTATCAGTCAACAAATATTTACTGAGGGGCCACTAAGTGAAGGCGTTGTAACAGATGCTGGGTGTGGTGATGCACGGGTATAATCCCAGCACTTGGGAGGCTGAGGTAGGAGGAACATGAGTTCAAGGCCAGTGACTATAAAGGAAGACCCCGTCTCAAAACAAGCAAAAAATTCTAAGGAAAAAGCACTGAGCAAGAAAAGATGAGGTCCCTGTCTTCATGACCTAGGAAGCCAGAAACTAAGAAGATAACATGTAAATGGAATGTTAATTACATAGTATGATAAAAACACTAATAAGACAGGCAGGTACAGGATGTTATTAAAAAGTAAAGCCTCAGGACACAATACTAGACAAGATCATAGCCCTTTCCCACTTCATTTGGGATAGCATTTAAAAAGAAATAATATAAACCTGTTACTTATTAGACAAGCATTTAACAACTAAACAGAGGAACAAGAAATTTATATGGGAGGGAGCAGCACATTCAGCTCAGTTGGTGAAAGGGTTCACAGATAGATGTTGAGACTGTTCTTCAGGGACTGGAAGGATATTTAGCAGAATCCCCTCCTCGAGCCCCACCAAGTGGAGTAACTCATGCCCACCCAAGTACATTACAGCACATGTGCCACAAAAACATCAGGCTTGGGCTATGGCTCTAGAAGCCTCACTTACCCTGGTCCTATCAGGGTCTCAATGTTGCAGTTTTATAAACTCAATTTTGTCAGTGAGCCGAGAGCTGACAAAGCTGACAACTGACATGTCAGCTAAATTCACAAGACCCTGCATTATAAACTAGAATGCAGTTTATTTAAAGGTTTATAATCAAGAAAGGTCCTTCCCAAAAACAGTTAGTGAGTTCCTTATCTAGATAGAGCTCCTTTTTCCCAGTGACAGGGTGACTAGAAAGGCAAATTAGGAATTAAAAGCGTTAGCAAACTTAAAGCAAGGGAAAGCAAGTTTTGAAGAATGCAGACATTCCTTAACAACTGAATTCCCACAACTAGGTCATTAACTGAATTGGTCACTAAATGAGGAACTGCACATGGTATGCACATTATGACACTCAGAACAAAGAAATGGTCAAAGGAAACTCCAACCCGAGGACATTGCTTTTGCGTAACTTACATTCAGCACTGTAGTATTTAACAACATAAAGGCAGAGGAATGTAATATAATCAGCAAAAATTACAGTACTGTATAAACAAGGTGTACTGTACAAAAGACACTGAGGATCTGTCAACAAGATGTGCAGAACTGTACAAAGGGGGTGTGTGTGTGTGAGCCCAAACAGTCCTTAAACAGCTAGGTCCTTAAATGAGAAATATCTGTACTGAATCGAGGCTATGCGGACTTCCACTACCTGATTTGATTTTTTAAAATTTCATCTTTCAAAGGGCAACTTAGTTTCTAAATTCTAGATGAATAAGGGAAACCTCACTGTGGGAGGAAAGTGAACTTTCCAATACAGAGGGAAGAACACTATTGTAAAGTAGAAAACAAAACAAGACAATGTAAGGAGTCTAGGCGACAATACAGTGGACCCTTGTCTCATGAACTTGATTGGTTCCCCAGGGCTGTTTGTAACTAAGTCAATACATCTGAGATCTCGATGTTTACCTGTGTATACACTATAGATAACAAGAGGCAGATGAATCTTCCATTAACCTTATTAGCCCAAGTTGTTCGTACATCAGGCTGGTCGAAACTTGAGGGTCCACTGTAATGAACGTCATTGGTTTTGTAGGTCAAGTGGCACCCACTGTCACTGGGAAAAGGTGTGACCTTAGTTTCTAGTCTCTTTCCCACTAGTTCATGTAGCTGAACAGCACTAACCTTCCCAAATGACTCTGCTGTTGAAAGACCTCCAGTGGTCCCTTCTGGAGTTAAAACCGGGCTCTGGCTTGGCTTCAAGGCCTTCCATGCCCTCTGTAACCTAGCTACAGGTTCTTTTGAACTTCTGCATTCTTAGCAATTTGGACAATTGTTCCCTCAAACCCTTTGCCACTTTCCTGGATCCATGCCTTCACTACAGACACAGCGATCTTAACGGGCGTGGGGAGTGGGGTATTCCGAAGAGGCCTCCCGCACTCTGTGCCTAGTGAGGTATTTAAGCTGTAATTCGGTTTTGTTTTGTTTTTTTTGGTACCGGGGATGGAACTCGGATCCTTGCGCTTGCAAGGTAGGCGGCGGAACCACTGAGCTAAATCCCTGGCCCTGTAATTCGGTTTTACTACTTCTTGCTTCTGTGCCTCTCTGATCTCTCTAGGTTGCCTAGCTGGTCTCAATGTCTCTTCACCAACAGTTAACAACTACGGGGAGGGGGGGTTGTTGTGACAAGGTGTCACTGTACAGCCCATTCTAGCTTCACTGCACTTCGATCCTCCTTCCTACCTCAGTCTGAGTGCTGGGATTACAGGTGAGCGCCACGACTCCCGGTTTAGCAACTACTGACTTGAAAAGGAAGGTCGAGAAAGCAGTGAGTGGCTACCTTGCTGAGGCCGAACTCATCCAGTTCTTCCGGGGGGATCCCGTAGTTGCCGACCAGGGGATAGGTCAGCACTAAGATCTGCGCTTTGTAGGAAGGGTCGGTGAGGGCCTCGGGGTAGCCGACCATGCCGGTTTGGAACACTGCAAAAAGAGGGCGGGTTGGGCTCGGGCAAAGGCACCCTCGGAGATCCTACCCTGCGCGGAGTGCACCTTAGGTCAGGCTGCCTCGGTCGTGAAGGATAAAAGGGGCTGGGGCGTGGGCACCGAAGGAGGGCGAGGGGGCGTGCAGGCGGGGTCTGGGCAGCGCGGGCTGGGCGGAGAGGGGAACCAGAGTTGGGTGAGGCTGGCACTCCGCTCGGGCTTGCTTACCCACTTCGCCGGCAGTTGACACTGCGGCCCCAAAGGGCCGACCCTGCAGCACCGACCCATCCTCCAACACCAGGGCCGCCATGGGAACGGAGCCCGGGCAAAGACGGAGAGGCAGGGGCCGCTGGGAGCTCCAGCGAAATCACGCAAGGACGGCGCGCCGGAGTCGGTCCACGTGGCTCGGCGCGCGCGACGATCGGGAAGGCGGGCGCTGCAGTCAGCAGCCCCGGGCGCACTGGGCGGAGCAGCACCGCGTCGGCGCAGGCAGCCGGGTGCCGGCAGCGCGTGGGGCGGGGCTGACGCGAGGGGCGGGGGAGGGGCGGGGCCACGTCTCGCCGCGGAGCCAACACCCACGGTACGCAGCCCAAGCAGGATGCGCGCAAGCACGGGGCGCCATTCCCTAAAAAAGGAAAAAAGGAAAAAGAGAGAAAAAAGACGTGTTTATTGTAGTCAGCGGCACAAATGAAAACTGCACTAGTCCACTTGTGACCCTGAGTGCCCAGAACATTCCAGGGTGGTACAATTTTTCATCTTCCTTCCAAAGCAGCCTCCGCCTTGAGGAGGAGTCACTGGCCAATGATGCCGGTCAAAGAAGCAAATCTCCCTGGCTGGGCTAAAACTGATCAGGACGATCGTAGATCAAAAGGAAGCCTTGTGTGGTTCATGAAGTCTTGGCCTTTCGGCGTTGAGTTCCCCAAAGCAGGAGGGAGATGGACAAAGTGGTGGATCCCAGAATCCCGAAGAACATAAGCAGTGGGAAGGAGCCCTGTGATTAACCGGGGAAAAAGTGTTACACAGAGGGCTATATCCTAACACCCGGTTCTTTCCTAGTTTCCTTCCTCTAGGTAACTGACACCAGCTGTTTTGTAGTTCTCCTTTCAGAAAGATTTTTTGCCTTATGAATTCCATTATCCCTAATAAAAAGATCTAATTCCTTACCTGGCGCGTACACTTGTATCCGTGGAAGCCATCAGAACAAATACACTTTGAGAGACCAGGACCATCAGGTAGACAAGATCCATTTTCAGGACACATTTCTGGGAGCCAGAGAAATAAGGACTATCACTAGATCTCATTAGGGATATTTCTCAAGTATCTGCTTTAACTTAAAAAGTCTCTCATTTCTAGGTCAAAGACGATTACAAATATCAGAATATAACAATAATCTTCTCTTAGGGCTGGGGATTTAGCTCAGTGGTGCCACATCTGCCTTGCAAGTGCAAGGTCCTCAGTTCGGTCCCCTATACGGCAAAATAAATAAATAAATATAACAATAAAATAATATCTTTTCTTATGGGGTTAGGAGCTCAGAATTCTGAATAAAAAGCACTTAACTATTTTTATCATTCTGATCTAAAGTGGAGAAAATACGGAAGGAAAAGAAGTTCCCAGAAAGGTGGAGATAAGACAACATACCTGGTTCCCTAGTGCTATTGCAATGATTCTTTTGACCTTGGCAGATTTTGTAGTTTATATCAGAGCTCACATGTTCCCAGGCATTATGACCTCCAGGACAGTTGACAGCTTGTGGCAGTACCCTGAAAGCAACATAGATGGTCATAATGTGCAGTCTGAGGGCCAGGGGTGTGTGTGTGGGGGACAGACTAAGTGCTAGAACAAATGCTCAGCATGTTCGAGGCCCTGGGTTCAATCCCCAATCCTCCCTCCCCAAGCAGCCTGAAGTTACTGAACTCATACCAGTGCCCCACTCTGGTTCTTGTCCACCACTCAATTACTCACAGAGTCTCGAGCTGTGTAAAGCCACAGAAGATCTTGCCCAAGTCACCCATGAGGGGGTTTGTTTGAAGGTCTCTGCAAAGCACATGTTGTCAGAGGGGTCTGCTCAGGAAAACACTTTGCATTCACACACCTTTCTGGACTGGTAATGCAGTCCTTTTTCTGAGTTGTCCAAGTTTAGACCTTAACATTCCTCTACCTCTTCAACAATGCATCCACAAAGTCTCCTACCAACACTTCATGGCATTTACCTTTTGGGTAGAAGAGTACTAATCACTTACATGATAACAGCGGTGTATGCCTGAGGAAAGCTTGGACCAGGATCCTTCAGAGAACAGTTCTGGAGATCCAGCCTGGAGAAACAAAGTAATTAGTGTAACTATGTGTCTCTTTTTCATTCATGGCAAGGTTTGTATTTGATTATGCAACCCCCTTTTCAGCTAGTATTAATTGAACACAACTGTGTTCTGTACCACAAACCAAGTGCTATGGCAGATATTTTAACTGTGTATTATCCAACACAGTCAACAGCATCATGTCACTACTTTAACCTGAAAACTGTGTTTCATTTGCACTAGTCACATTTCAAGTGGATGTGAGGGGCTGGGGATTTAGCTCAGTGGTTCTGCCACCTGCCTCGCAAGCACAAGGTCCCAAGTTCAATCCCTGGCACACACACAAAAAATCAAGTGCACATGGAACACCATATTAGTGGCCACTGTGCTGGTCAGTACAGATACAAAACGTTTCCGTGATCATGGAAAGTCCTATTGGAGCACACTGTTCTAACCAGTATACTTATGGATTGTGTATGTACTGGAAGAAATTTTGTGTTTATCTAAATTAGTGAATCTCACGTGATTCTCAGATCCACAAGGGATTATTAAATGAAAAAAAGGGGCAAGTCACATTTTCCCAAGTGCATCTGTTGGAATTCAAGGCCATCCCGGGCTACACAGTGAGTTCAAGGCCAGCCTCAACTACATAGCAAGATAACAAGACCCTGGCTCAAAAACAAAACAAAACACACACACAATAAAAAAAAAAACCCAAAAAGCAAACCAAGTGGATCTGCTATCACAGTAAGCTTGTAGACAATAAGGATCATGACACATTATTTTGTCTTCAATATATGTCGGTGTCCATTCCTTTATTTCGCAAATATACTGATTGTCTACAAAATGCAAAAACTAGCAAAGTATACAATATAGGTAACTCAGTATTTGGCTTCCAGTGGCTTACAATGTAGTAGGGAAAAAAGATCATCACCAAAACCAAAAGCAACATAAACATCAAATTACAATAGGAAAGAAACCACAGGACAGCATATATATAAATTTGAGTTTTATACGCACTATACATTACAGGGGGAGATTACATTACTCTGGGGTTTAGTACTAGGGAATATTCACAAAAGATATAGGGATTAAAGGTTGGATATGTCCTAATTTGGTGGAGGAAGGCAATTTCAGTATGGAGACAGGCCTGAACACAGACAAAAGTGGAATGCTTTTGGGGGTAGGCAAATCTAGCTGGAGTCAGACTCTTATGGAGGACTTGGGTGGAAAAGGAACTGGAATAATGTTGGAAAAGTGAGTTGTGACTAGTCACAGTAGCTCCTGGTTTGAAATTTATCTTTAGGACAAGTTATAGGATTAAACTAAGAGAATTCTGGGCATAGTCATGGCACATGTCTGTAATCCCAGCACTCTGGGAGGTTGAGGCAGAAGGACTGAAGGTTCCAACTGAGCCTGGGCAACTTAGTGAGACCCTGTCTCAAAATTTAAAAAGCCTGGGGATATAGCTCAGTGTGAAAACCCTAAATTCAAATCCCAGTACTAAGGCAGGAGATTAGGACAGGGTAAACTGGCTGGATAAGTGAGTGTGACCTTTCAATTAGAGACCCAGAACACAGTTCCCAAACTCTGCACCTGGGACCAATAAGAAAGTGCTGTCTTCTTCATTTGCATCTTGTGCAAAACCAAGCACACTTTCGACAGCCTTAGCTCTGACTCAGGCTGAGGAATGAGGGCCACAAGACTGCACCTCTCCTGCCATTAACCTCTTGGCCACTGTGAACTCTCTCAGTGTCCTGCTCTCACTCTGCAGAGCATACTTCTTTTCCTACTTTAATAAGTGTAAACTCTCACTACCTTTTTCACATGTCTTGTCCAATTCTTTGTTCAGGACACCAAGAACCTGGAAAGAATCCCTGAAAATAATCTGTGGGACCCTAAAAGCTAGTAACAGTACCACCAAAAAAAAAGGAGCAGCTTCGGAATATAACTCAATGATAGAGTCTTGCCTAGCATGTGTGAGGCCTGGGGCTCCATTCCTAATACTGCCAAAAATAAAAATAAAGACAAATTCTCAAAAAGGTGTGAACAGGTGGATGTGCCTTGCCCTTCAAAATATTTCCTGGCCAGGTGTGGTGGCACATACCTGTAATCCCTGCACTTCGGAAGCTGAGGTTGCAGGATTGGTGCGAGTTCCAGGTCAGCCTGGGCTAGTGAGTTCAAGGCCAGCCTCAACTACTTGAGACCCTGACTCAAAAGAAAAAAACAGGGGAGGGGGGACTGAGAGTGCCTAATCCTAACCACTAGACAAAAGGAGCATCAAAAGGAGTGAACTGTAGGACTAAAATGCCTACGAAGCCAAGAAGAGGAATTTGTTCCAAAGACAACATGAATTAACCAGAAGAAGAAGCAAAGCCATATTAGTAATGTCTTCAAGAGGGTAATTTCCTATAGCTGGGCTTGGTGGCACACACCTATAATCCCAGCACTCGGGAGGCTGAGGCAGGAGGATCACTGTGAGTTTGAGGCAGCCTGGGTTACATATAGTGAGTTCAAGGCCAGCCTGAAGTAACAGTGAGACCTTGTCTCAGAAAAATAACAACAAAACAAACAAAAAAGAGGGTAATTGCCTGGAGACACACAGTAAATAATCCAAAGACTTGATAGTAAATAAAAGAACAAAGCTCCTTTTGAAATGATGCCACAAAAGCCTATTTTAAAAGCCAAAAACTATGACTTTTAAGCAGTTTCATCCAGGAAGAACCACAGGACTGTTTACCTAAGCCAAAAATGTTGTAACAAATTTTTTAAGTTTGAGAATCATGGTTGAGGTGCTTCAAACCAGGCACTAATATTAATCCTAAAAGCAAATCAGGTGGGCTGGGGATTTAGCTCAGTGGTTCTGCCGGCTTCCTCAAAGGCAGAAGGTCCCAGGTTCAATCCCTGGTACCAAGAAGCCAATCAGGCAAGGCTTGGAGACTCTGGTCTGGGAACTCTTCTCCAGTATCCAGGTGCAAAAAAGTTTAGTTAGTTAGCTTATGAAAAAGACAGCTAAGGGCTGGGGATTTAGCTCAGTGGTTCTGCTGCCTGCCTCGAAAGCGCAAGGACTCGAGTTTGATCTCTGGAACCAAAAAAAAGAATTGTCAGATCCTTCTGATAATTGGAGAAAAAGATAGCTAAGTAGGCAAAGGGCCTGAGATAGAGTTGGATGGTCAGCCACATTGCTAAGAAGTAAAATAAGAATAGGCAGTGAACTAACACTTTGGACCAAGAAATAACTTCCTCAGGCAACATGGAATGCAGGCCCCTCCCTACTAAAGGGAGTTGCAAGGCCCTCTCTTCTAAGTTCCTGAGTTCAAGGAATTTAAAAATACAAAATAACTAAATTTTCTCTAACATCCCCTTCCTTTAAACCCTACAGGCTGAATAATTAACTGGGTTAGAACGCCTGAGTTCCAAGTGGTCATTTTTAAATCACAGCGCCATCTGTGACAGGTGGCCACTAAGCCACTGGGCAACACAGCAATTCTCATTCTGTGCTTATCCATAAAAAGTTCTAGACTATGGGGCCATATGGAAATTCCACTTTTTGGATTCCCCTCCCAGAGAAACCAGGAGCTTTTTTTTCTTCTTATTTCCAATAAAAACTCTCCTAACTTTCTCTTGGTTTGCAACTTCATTCTTCAATTTTCAGGGAACCGCGAGCTCTACTGTACACAACTTGTTTCACAAGGATGTCTTCTCCTCCCTCACCCCAAGATGGTGCCCTTCTGATTCGTGCAGCAGCGGGCTTGCACTGTAAGGTTCGGTGACTCTTTACAATAAAAGGCCACTTTGGACAAATTTTGCAAGCTCCCCGGACACTGGGTGCACACCTGCAGAAGACAGAAATCTTATTAGGACTCCAAAAGAAAAATCAGGAAAAAGACAAATAGGAATCAAGAATTAATTGACAGTACACCTCTCTAGAATTCCTGTAACACAGTGCAGAGATGGCTGTGGTATACACTAGGCTAGATTAGGACACGTCATTTATTCCCCTAGCCAGGCACTGAATCAGCACTCCACATTCAGTACCACTCCTCGCCTAAGCAAGGTCCTCATCTTTGAGAATTACTAGTTGAACACATTTACTATGCCTTCTCCAAAGACTTGTCAATCTGATAACCCCTGATTGGCCAGGTGTAAAAAGCTGCTGGTACACAAAGAACCCATCAAGCATTAGAATACAGTTCTACTGCAGGACCAGGTACGGCACTTGTGCGTGGACGGCTCGCAGTACAGCCAGAAGACTCGTATTACGAAGCACAGTTATTCAAAGATTAAGGAGCTAAGAAATCAAATTTCAAATGTCTTTGAAGGCGGGCAGGGCGAGGACTCCGGATGCCTGGGCAATGTGAGTAAAGAGCAGGATCCGGCCGGCATGGTTTTCGGAGGCTTCAAGAACTAAACCTGAGCTTCAGGCCGGCAGGGGGAAGGGATTAGCTGCGGGCGGGCGCGACAGAAGGCTGCCCAGCAACTCTACTTCACCAGGACCATAAATTGGTTTCTGTACCTCGGGTAGAGCCAGAGCCCCTTCCATGCCCAGAGCGAGGAACAGGACCATAACCCAGCAAACGAGGTTGGAACGATTGAGAGGCTCGCCCGGCACCATTTTCCGACTCGATCGACCTTCTCGACCGCTCGCGAGAGCGGCGCGCGGCCCCGCCCCGACGCATCACGTCCTACGTCGTGGGCGTGGCCTATCGGCCCGGCGCTGTCACCTCAGGGTGTTGCTTCATCGGACGTTCGTCTGGACCTCCACAGCTCCCGGAGGTCCGCTATCGGAATGGACACGCACATTGCCTTATGGACTCCTCCTTCTCTTTGCGACACTGGGGGTTGAACCTACGGACTTTGCACTGAGCTACCTCCCCATTCCTTTTTTATTTTGAGATAGCGTTTCGCTAGATTGCCCAGGCGGAACTCATGTTTGCGATCTCCTGCCTCAGCCTCCCAAGAGTGCTGGGATTACAGGCGTGCACCACACCATTTTCCCCTTTTAGCGGAAGCTCCTCCGACGTCACTCAGCTCCTCTGAGCCGAGTGCAGGCTTGTCAGCCCCTCGTTCTGTGCGCCTGGACGCCGAGGTCGCGCCTCTACAGCTTCTCGGGCCGCTTCATCCGCCCTCAGTAAACATGGCGGCGCGGCTGGGGGCGTGGCCTGGCTGCGTCCAGGCGGGCTCACCCCGGACTCGAGCCAGGGGACCCCGCAGGTGCGCCTGGCCGGTACGGGCGGGGCCGAGCCGCAGGGAGGCGGGAGGGAGGGGGGGAGGGCGGAGCCACCCGCGTCCCCAACGCGGGGTTCGGAGAGGTCTGAAGTGCGCGCCGCGTGGTTGTGGACACCGCGTGTGTGGAGGGAACTGGGAAACCGCGAGAGAAAGAGGGTAAGGGTGATGTCGGAGCGAAGCGCGCCGGGAAGAGGGCGAACCCGGCGGAGACAGACCGCGCAGCGCCAGGAGCCTGCCGGGGAGGTAGGGACGGGATTGACGCTCTCAACTTGTCGTTCCTTTCCTTCCCAGGAAAAGGGAGCGATGCTGATCTCGGGAAGAAAAAAGAGCTCTGGCTGAACCACGGATGTAAGGCAAGGCAGCGCGGTCGGTCCCAAGGTGCCCGGGTCCTGACTGAAGGGCGCTCGGGGAAGTGGGGTTTGGTTAGGGTCTCCCAAGAGCCCAGGGAGCCAAAGTTCATTTTGAGCAGCCAGCCCAGGCTTCCCTTTCACAGACTCCCAGTTGTCTCCCGAGAATCTCTTGAACTTACATAAAGCTGGCTGGTCATTTATTCATTTATTTATTGTGGTATTCGAGATTGAACCTAGGTAGAAGTGAGCTCCGTGCTAGCCCTTTTTTTTGTTGTTTGTTTGGTTTTTTTTGTTTGTTATTTTCTTTGAGACAGGGTCTTGCTGTGTAGTCTAGGCTGACCTTGAACTCATTGTGTAGTTCAGGCTGCCCTCGGACTCGAGATGACTCTCCTGCCTCAGCCTCCCAAGTGCTGGGATTACAGGCGTGCACCACCATGCCTGGCCTTTTTTGTTGTTGTTTATGAGACAGAGTCTTGCTAAATCGGCCAGGCTGGGGTCAAACTTGCAGTCTTGTCTCAACCCCCAGAGTAGTACCTGGATTACAGGTGTGCACTTCACTTGATGAATTTTGAGAACCCCCAGGCCGTTCAGACCTTGAGATTTAGGCACAAGTCAGATTTTGAGTGAATCTTTTTGAGGCAGTTGCTCTTGTAGTGGTTACCTTTCCTAAGAATCAAAGCAACTCTGCAGTGTGGTGAGTTAGATGTTTTTGTTTGTTTGTTTGTTTAGTTTTTCGAGGCCAGCCTGAACTACAAAGTGAGACCTTCTCTCAAAAAGCTCCCAAATAAATAAATAAGTAAATAAAAAGGCCCCCTGCACACCTGTATGTGCCCTCATGTGCTACAGATTGAGTGAAACAATTCCGCTCTTCCTTTCTGCTCACACTAAGAGAGGCAAGTCTGATGGGTCGGTGTGGAGTTTTTAGAAAGCTGCTCTGTTCCCAGAACTGAAACCTGTCAGATAAAGATTTGACCTTGCCTGGTCCTCTCATCAGTCATGCAGGAGATTCTCCACACCTTATGCAAACAGAACATTCTCAGGAAGCCCCTTTGGTTTTCCCCCAGTAGTGACAGTCCCACTCTGTGCTGGGATCTTTCTTCCTTTCCCTAGCCCCGTCTGTCATATCATGAATCCTTTAGTACCATGCTCTTATTTGCACACAGCGGCTATTTCTCCTACTCGGCAATAGTCAGTCTCCTTGTGTCTATCAAAACAGTAAAAAGTTGTCAAAGAAGAGTGAAAAAGTGAAGGTGTTGCAATATGTAAAGGCTCACCATATGTTTAGCTTAAGCCAGAGGAGGAACCTTGCTCTGGGGACTAAATCCTGAGCCTGGAGGACACGTGATCAAAAGTTGCTCACTCCGATTTCCTTACACTGACTCCAGGAGGTGCAGAGTTCAGGTTTAGAGGGTGTGAAGGCTGACTTACCAGCCAGGTAACATCTGCCTGGGAAACTGCCAGAAGGTGGCCTGACCTTTCTCCTAGAGGATGGGGACAGGAGACAGTTTGTATTAATCTGTCTCTAGATTAGTTGAAGTCCAAACTGGGTTCCTTGAATGACTGGCTGCAGTTAATGCTTGGGTTCCGTCCTGGTCCTGGGAGTAATGAGGACAAGGCCTTTGTTAATGGTTATTTCATTGTTTAGCAGTGTTAATGTTTATAAAGCATTTAGCAAACTGCTGGTTTACATAGCAGGTGTGCTGAACATGTTAACTGTCATCAGGTTAGACTGTCTGCACACATAGTATGTACACATTCTCTGATATTTTTTTCTCCATACCAGTAAGTACTCTTAGGGCAGTGATGCTGAGCTTTTTAGAGCTTTCAGTGATACGAACAGCCTGCTGCAGTATGTGTGCCATAGGTTCACCACCACTATCCTAGGGGATTGCTTGTGAAGACAAGACAGTATTCACAGAGAATAGGATGGATGGGGAGTCATGAGACCCGGATTCTAATCTGGCTCTGCTCTGGGAAAGGTCCCTTGAACCATCTGGGCCTTAATGTGCTTGTGTGTGAAATGAGGGGCCTGTAAGAGCAACGTCCTAAGAGCTCTGTAGGTTTTGAAATAGCACAATCTCATCCTTGTTCCTGTGAGGACTGTGGTGTGTTCTTGGAGGATCACTGTTTCTTGTGTAGGAATCACAAAGGCAACTTTTTGGTTTTCTCTCTGACCCTCCTTTTCACCTCCTTCCAGCACACAGGGTGCCAAGAGTGACTTAGGCTAAAAGCCTAATCCATCTAGGAATGCTGTTGAATGTGAGCTCCGTGTTTCCCTTGCTACAACTGCTAGTGCTGTGTTGGTGGCCATAGGGTAAGAAGGCCTTGTGGATCACAGCAATTGGTTCCTGAAAGGCCCAAAACGAGTAGCTGCTGAGCTTTCTGCCGCCCCCAACTCCTAATCCTCTCTTCAGCCACTTATAGAGCCAGACCTTCGGCCTCTGCCCCCTCCAGGCCGCTCTGCCTCAGAACAGGGCTTGCTTTTCCAGGTAGGTGTCTGCCCTACAAGATGGGACTGCTCCGGCTGGCTGGCTGCTTTCCAGAGTGGTCCTGGAATCTTAACTTTGCATCACTGGCTGCAGTGTGCTACTTTGTCACTTACCTCTTTTACTTTTTACATTTTGGGGTGCTCAGGATTGAACCCAGGGGCACATACTTACGAGGTGGGCACCACTGAGCTAAATTCTTTTTTTTTGGTACCAGGGATGGAACTCGGGTCCTTGCACTTTCGAAGCAGGCGGCAAAACCACTGAGCTAAATCCCTGGCCCTGAGCTAAATTCTTTTTTTTTTTTTTTTTTTGGTACCAGGGATGGAACTCGGGTCCTTGCACTTTCGAAGCAGGCGGCAAAACCACTGAGCTAAATCCCTGGCCCTGAGCTAAATTCTTTTTTTTTTTTTTTTTTTGGTACTGGGGATCGAACTCGGGTCCTTGTGCTTGTGAGGCAGGCAATGAGCTAAATTCTTGAATCTGCCTCTCTCACTTTTGAATCTTCCCAGTCTTTTTTTCTTTTTTTTTGGTACCAGGAATCGAACTCAGGACCTTCAGCTTTCAAGGCAGGTGGCAGCACCACTGAGCTAAATCCCCTGGCCTTTTTTCTTCTTTTTTTGAGACAGAGTCTTGCTGTGTAGTTCAGACTAGTGTTGGAACTCACTGTATATCCAGGGCTGGCCTCAAAGCCGCAGTGATCCTCCTGCTTCAGCCTCCCGAGTGTTGGCATTACTGGCTGTGGTGTGGCAGGTAGAGGGACTGCAGGGCTCATCTAATGGTGCTGGGAGAATGTTAAGAAAGGGCCTAACCCTATAATGCCAGCACTTCAAAGGCTGAGGCAGGAGGATCTCATGAGTCAAGGCCAGCCTGGGCTGCACAGTGAATTCAAGGCCAGCCTGAACTACACAGTGAGACCTTGTCTCAAAAAAACCAAAAAGGAAAGAAAAGAAAAGGTCTCGGGGCAGTTGGCCTGCTGATGCCTGGAGTGGAGTCGGGGCTGCCCAGAGGAAGCTCACTGGTGATCAGTGCTGAGGAGGAGTGCGGTTAGGAGGGTGACCTTGGGGAGTACAGGCAGTCAGGGAGAGCAGGGGGATCCCTGCCGTCCTCAGTCTCTGTTTCTTCTTCCCCATGGGGCTGTGGCGCCAGGCGCGGTTCTGCTGGCTTCATGCATTGTAGTGACTGGATCTGTGCCTACAAGTGGAGGCAGGGAATTCTGAGAAGCTTGAGCCGGAGTTGGTTTTCCTTTTGCTTTTTGGGGGGGGCAGGGGAGGCCCAGGAGTGTTCTTCAGTTTCACAGTCATGCACACCCAGAGGTCCTGGCCGAGATGTTGTCTCCTGGCTGTCTCACTCTGCTGCTTCTTCCCTCCTCTGTCCCACCCACCGAGCCCCATGCAGGCCCTCCAGGGCCGTGACCACCATGCTGGCTGGTCCGAATCTGATGGGCCTGGCCTGTCTGGGCCTGAGGGTAGACGACAGCTGTGAAGGTGGGGTAGGCCTGACCGGGAACTGACTTTGCAGCTCACCCTGGACCATGTCCCTGGGCAGTGGAGGATTGTGAGACCGTGGCTGATAGGCAACTCAGCTGCTCGCCTGCTCCTGCCCAGCCTCGAGGGCGCCCAGACCCCAGGAGCAGCGGCTGGCTGAGGTGAGCACAGACACGGTGAGGATGAGCTTAGGGGTGAGCACCTCAGCCCCACCCCTCACCACCTTGGACCGGAGCAGCACTGCCCCCATCTTCTCCACCGTGGACTATGTGGTGTTCGCCCTGCTGCTGCTGTTTTCCCTGGCCATTGGGCTCTATCATGCTTGTCGCGGCTGGGGCCGCCATACTGTTGGCCAGCTGCTGATGGCAGACCGCAAAATGAGCTGCTTCCCTGTGGCACTGTCCCTGCTGGCCACCTTCCAGTCAGCTGTGGCCATCTTGGGCGTGCCCTCTGAAATCTTCCGGTTTGGGACCCAGTATTGGTTCCTGGGCTGCTGCTACTTTCTGGGGCTGCTGATTCCTGCTCATGTCTTCATCCCTGTCTTCTACCGCCTGCACCTCACCAGCACCTATGAGGTGAGCAGGGGAGGCGGGGAGGGAGAAGAGCACAGGGCACACAGGAGGGTGCTGGGACCCACTTCACCCCACCTAAGGAGAATGAGTTTCTCAGTTCTTCCTGGGTGGGACCAGGGTTGGGGTGGAGTGGGGCGTGGGCGCACTCCTGCGTGGGCTTCTCGTGGGGAGGACATGCGTGTGGTGGGGTCAGGAGGAATATGTACCTTTTGCCCCTTATTCCTGCCCAGTACCTGGAGCTCCGATTTAATAAAGTGGTGCGGATTTGCGGAACTATGACCTTTATCTTTCAGATGGTGAGTGGACGGTGTAGAAATTGAGTGGGGCATGGGGAGGGGGGAGTTGAACTCAGGGAGGCTGTCAGACTGGCAGGGTTGAAATTCCTGAGAGCGGTCCGTGTTAGTGGGAAGGTCCCCGTGGTGCCCTGCTAGCCATTTCATCCGGGGCCACCACAGACTTGGTGGCTGACATAAGCCGGACGTCGGGAGGGGAAGCGCTGGAGAGATTGTAGCTGAGCTCCGTCCTCTCTCATCCTGCCTGTGTCTGTCTCCGCTCACATCCTTTCCCTTATCCAACAGGTCATCTACATGGGGGTGGTGCTCTATGCGCCGTCCTTGGCCCTCAATGCAGGTGAGGAGTCACAGCCCCTTGCTTCTGGCTGTGGCAGGCTGGGAAAATACCTTCGGGAAGGGCGGCCCTGGGCGGGGGAGTTAATTCACTGCATGAGCCCCTGGGGCTGGTCTCATGGTGTGCTTCATTTGAGAGTTGAGACCTTACCGTGCTTCACCTTAATCAGTTAATCAGTACCTCGGCAGAGCTCTGCACACATTTCTCCTCATTATGGTAAAGGATTTATTTCATTTTTAGTAGCTAATTGCTTCGTCTCTGATCTGCCATAGCTGCCTCTGTCAGGGCTTCTCTGGCTTCTCCTTGGGAAGCCTTCTTTGAGAGATAGGAGCATGATTTTTCTCTGTTTACAGTGACGGGCTTTGATCTGTGGCTCTCAGTGCTGACCCTGGGCATTGTCTGCACCATCTACACTGCACTGGTAAGTCAGTGACCCCTGGGGGATGGAGGGGAGGCGGTAGAAGAGAAAGAAGGGCTGAGATAAGAATATAGGTAGGACGCCAGGCATGGTGGCACACACCTCTAATCCCAGCACTGGGAGGCTGAGGCAGGAGCATCACCAAGAGTTCAAGGCCAGCCTGAACTACATAGTGAGGGCAGTCTAAACCACATAGTGAGACTGTCTCAAAACACAGCACAACACAACACAGTATATGTGAATAAATGAGAACATAGGTAGGAGATGGGATGATATTCTCAGGTAGAACGGAGTGAGGTAAAATTTAGGAAGAGACATGGGACAAAGGATGGCCATGAAGGTAGAGGACAGCTGAGAAGTCTCAGTGATGGTGGACTTGATGGCAGGGTACCCAGCCCCCTCACGTGGTAGAGTGGTGTCCTCCTGTGGACAGTCTGGGAGACATTTGGGGCCAGTGTGCTGTCTTTTCCCTGCAGGGTGGGCTGAAGGCCGTCATCTGGACAGATGTGTTCCAGACGCTGGTTATGTTCCTAGGGCAGGTGGCTGTTATTATTGTGGGGTCGGCCAAAGTGGGCGGCATGGGGCATGTGTGGGATGTGGCTTCCCAGCACGGCCTCATCTCTGGGATCGAGTAAGTACCACCTTCCCCTGGATGGGCACTACCGCACCTGGGAGCTGAGCCCATCCCAGAAACCAGTGTCAGGGCTGCAGTAAGCAGAGGACCAGCTGGGAGGTCTTGGGTGCAGCGCTGCATGGGTGGGAAGCTGGCAGTGGAGAGAGGAGGAGTGATCACAGGTGGCAGCTGGAGCTGGTGTTTATGGAGGGTGGGGATGAGGACCTGGGATGAGGCTGAGTGGAGAAATGGAAGCCTCTCTTTAGCTTGCTGTGCTGTCTCTTGGGTCCACTCAGCTCCCTGGACCTAGCAGTGGTGTCTGCTCTGCTCCCCGCTTACCCCTCTTGGCAGGAGAACAGGAAGGCTGAGTTGGACTCAGAGGCTGTGGCACAGTGACCGGGTGGTATCTGTTGCAGCCTGAATCCAGACCCCTTTGTGCGGCACACCTTCTGGACCTTGGCCTTTGGGGGTGTCTTCATGATGCTCTCCTTGTATGGGGTGAACCAGGCTCAGGTGCAGCGCTACCTCAGTGCCCACACAGAGAAGACTGCTGTGCTGTGAGTGCAGGGACAGGAAGCGGGGCAAGGGCTATGAAGGGATTCCCAACGGCCACTTGGGGTGGGGCAGGATGCCAGGGTGCCCACTGGGGCCAGGACATGAGGCTCCTTTCTGAAGGCTCAGGAGGTTGAGCCTGAACCCTCTTTCTCCCTGGCACCGGCCTGTCTTGCAGTTCCTGCTATGCAGTGTTTCCCTGCCAGCAGATAGCGCTCTGTATAAGCTGCCTCATTGGCCTGGTCATGTTCGCCTATTACCAGGAGTTTCCTCTGAGCAGTCAGCAGGCTCAGGCAGCCCCTGACCAGGTGAGAAGGTCGTGCAGGGTCCTTCCTATGCCCGGAAGAGGCCAGCTTGGGCCCAAAGTGGAGTGTCTGGGTGGCTGCAGAAAGGACTCGCACCCTGGGTGGATGATGGCTATAGAGCCCCCTCCCATGCTGAGATAGCAGCAATCTAGCATGTCACATCCCGGCCCCAGGCATCACCTAGTCACGGCTCTCCCCACTTGGGGGTGAGGACCTAGCTTTACGGACTCTGCACTATGCACCCTGTGCTCTGCTGGGAGCTGGCACATGCCTGTTCTCTAAGCCCCCTGACAGCCTCCTGATTTTACAGATAAGAAACAAGCTTAGCCCGGTAGGCAGTGCGCTGATGTCACACTGCTGGTCGGGCAGAGCTGTGCTGCAGAGCTCATTTCCTCTGTGTGTTGGGGAGGTCACTGGACTGGCTGGGGCGCGTGTGTGGAGGGATGGACCACAGGGGGACGCAGCCCCCTGAGGAGAGCTGTGCTCTGCTCTGCCTGCAGTTTGTCCTCTACTTTGTGATGGACCTCCTGAAAGGCCTGCCGGGCCTGCCTGGGCTCTTTGTTGCCTGCCTCTTCAGCGGCTCCCTCAGGTACCCCTTTGGGACGGGAGCAGGGAGACGTGGGCTTGGATCCCGTGCCATCCATTGTGGCACACAGACAAGGGACAGCTTACCTGTGTAAGACAGCACAGCCTCTCCCAAGACATGCCCCATCTCAGTTAAGGGTTATTTTCCCACAATGCCAGGAAAAACTCTACTTGAACAAACCTGTGCTCTCTTCAGAAAAGGACCGTGTCCTTTCCCTCCAGGCCCCTCTGAGGTGGCTGTACCTGCATCTGTGAGCACGGTTTCTTGGCTGCCCACCTCATTGCTGTGCCTTTGGGGTGCTGTTCCCTCCACAGTCCTGTTAGTTCTGCTCTCTGCTCCCAGAAGCAATTCTGCTTATCACTTTCTTTTTCCTTTCAGCACCATATCCTCTGCTTTTAACTCACTGGCAACTGTCACAATGGAAGACCTGATTCAGCCCTGGTTCCCTGAGTTCTGTGAAACCCGGGCCATCTTGCTTTCCAGAAGCCTCGGTGCGATTTTTCTTTTGCAGATCTTCAGTTTTGTCCTTTCTGAGACATCCCCTGTCCACCACCATCAGTGTGTTGCAAAACATTCCCTTCATCTTTCGCCCAGCATTTGCCTGTTGAAGCAGACAGCCTCACTCCTTGGCTAATGGCTTGGCGTTTCCTAGGGAGGATTCTGAGTCACATGGGAGTGGAGTAGGGACAGGTGGAGGGTTCTGGAGCTGGGGCATGAGGTCATAGACCCTCTTTCTAGGGACACAGAGCCATGGTTTGGGGAGGTTGCTCCACTTTGTTCCCCTTTCTCTAGTGTTTATTCACATCTGCTTGTTTCTCCCCCTCTGCTTTTCCTCAGCCTTTGGCTATGGTCTGCTTTGTTTGGGAATGGCCTATATTTCCTCCCAGATGGGACCCTTGCTGCAGGTAATAGCTATGGAAGGGAGAAAGTACCTTGTAAGGGTGGGAAGGAATTGATTGAAACAGAAAATTGAGGACTACAGTTGTGTTCAGGGGGATGGCTTCAGGGTCAGGATCAGAAATTCCCTTTTTCTGGACAAACTTTACCTACGAAGACCAAAAACCCCGGGGTCATTTCTGGGATGATGTTGGCTCTGAGATGTTTACCTCAGACTCAGAGGAAAACCCAGAGAGCGTGCCTTTAGCCATTCTTGTTCTCTGGAATTGACCCAGGTAGCAGAGGCAGACAACTGATGAGCGAGGCTCTGAGGCAGTCACTGGTGGCTATGCTCTGTCAGTGAGGCTGGCTTCTCTGAGCCTGGTGTCCTTTTGTCCTTTTTTTCTCACCCTGTCCTTCCCAGGCAGCAATCAGTATCTTCGGCATGGTTGGGGGCCCGCTGCTTGGACTCTTCTGCCTTGGGATGTTCTTTCCTTGTGCCAACCCTCCTGTGAGTAACGCGTCTGCCTCCACAGTCCTGTGCCTGGGGTGGTTCTGAGGTGTGGGGGGGCTGGCCCTGTGACAAGAGAGTGCACCTTGTCTTTGGCAGGGTGCCATCGTGGGCCTGGTGGTTGGACTCATCATGGCCTTCTGGATTGGCATTGGGAGCATAGTGACCAGCATGGGCTCTGGCAAGGCACCTTCTTCCCTTAACGTGTCCAGCTTCTCCCTGCCCAGCAATCTGACCATCACAACTGTGACCACCCTGATGCCCTTGACCACCCTCTCCAGGTGAGGTGGAGAATTACTCCTTTTCTCCTTGGGGACAGTAGCTCAGTTGTTTGTCTTTGAGACAGGATTTCACTATGTAGTTCGGGCTGGCCTTGAACTCCTGCTTCCGCCTCCTGAGTGCTGGGATTACAGGCGGGCACCACCACACCTGGCTAATAGCTCAGTTTTGGGGGATTTCACAGGGGCCTTGCTAAAAGATTGATGCCTCAGAGAAATGTTGGGTTCCAAGACCAAGCAATTGGGTGGAGCCAGGAGCCTGAGGAGTGCCCATCAACAGATTGCTGATTGTCCTCACCCCTGTGCTCTCCCCAGGCCCACAGGGCTGCAGCGGTTCTATTCCCTGTCTTATTTATGGTACAGCGCACACAACTCCACTACCGTCATTGTGGTGGGCCTGATCGTCAGTCTGCTCACTGGTGAGGGTGTGGGATGAAACAGAAGGGGCTGAGGGAGTTTCTGGGGGCTCTGCCCCGGGAGCCCAGGGGGTTGGGAGCAGCCAGGCTTCCGGGCTGAGATCCAGGAGGTGGGCAGGGCTGGGGCACAGGGGTCCACAGGGCTCACTGCTCTGCAGACTCAGAAGCGCCTTTGCCCACAGGGGGCATGCGGGGCCGGACCCTGAACCCTAAGACCATTTACCCTGTGCTGCCAAGACTCCTCGCCCTCCTGCCCTTGTCCTGTCAGAAGCGGCTTTGCTGCAGAAGCCACAGCCAGGTGGGACCCTTTGTCACACGATCCCCTCCCTTCCGTCCAGATCCCCTTCAGTGTCCCCTTCTGTGTCCCCCTCTCTGACCATCTCCCACAGCAGCCTCCACACACAGGGTGGGCTGCGCTGGCTTAGGGTCGGAGGGATGGGGGCCTGGCCATCCCTCGGCCCTCCCAGGCCCTGCCCCTGCCCCGCACTCCTCCCAGCCTCCCACTGCCCCTCCTGGCCTGGCTCCGTCCCTCCAGCAGGGCACAGCAGGGCCCCTCCCTTTCCTGCTTGTGTCCCTTGCCCACACTGCCCGCCATGCTCTGCACCACCCAGGACGTCTCCGTGGACACCAGCCTGTTTCCGGAGAAGCTGAGGAATGGGGAGCTGCAGGACAGTGGAGACAAGTGGGCGATGGCTGCAGATGGGCCAAGCCAGGAGGGGCTCAGTCCCACCTTCGTCCTCCAAGAGACCTCACTGTGACGGGGGATACGGCCTCTGTCCTCACTGCCAGGCAGCAGCCAGAGGCCACTCTAGTATGGGGATGAGTCCTGCGATACATTGTATGGGTTGGGTGTGATGACCAGCCCACAGTACAGCACTTTTCTCTTGCACCTTGCTCTTAAACGTTCTTGCCTGCATTAGAAGCTATTGCATCTTGGGCCTGTGCCCCTTGCTAGTCTGTTCTCTAGAGGACCAGGCTTGCAGGCAGAAGATTGTGCCAGAAATGGGGATAGAAGCAAATCATCTGAGAAAAGGATAATGGCTTCTGAGTCAACATGGCCAGGGCCCTTTGATGTGATTATAGCTGTCCTTGGGGCCAGTTTGGCAAGACAGACCAGCTCCAGCATACAGAATGGAGCTGCCTTGACCAGTTATTGCTTCCCTTCTCATCCCATCCTGGCACCTTCTCTGTCAGCCACAGTGGCCCTGTGATACTTTCTAGTTGCCTATGACACCCAGTTCTCTCATTTTTTTGTCTACCTCTGTTCTTGAGAGGGAGGGTTTGGTGTCCCTGGGCCTCTCAGAATAGGCTAGTACAGGCCGGGGATTTAGCTCAGTGGTTCCACTGCCTGCCTCGCAAGTGCAAGGACCCGAGTTCAATCCCCAGTACCCAAAAAAAAAAAAAAGAATAGGCAAGTACATTTATCTACTGGAGCAGGCAAGTTCTCCATGTCACTGACTCCCTTCTCCATTGCTAAGATGGCCACCTGGGGACAGGGCCGTGACCAGGTCCTCCGGAGTGTGCTGACCTCCTAGCTCCTGAGCCAAGCCATCCTGGTGTCATTCTGTCATCCATGCTCCTATTTCCTTTGGAGTCTCTTCCTTACATATCGTTGTTCCTGAGGAATAAAAACAGCCGCTGGCTCTAGAGCCAGGCCTCCTAACTGTCTCCAGTTGTCTTAGAAGCCACAGGCCCTGGAGGAGATGGAGGGCTCGTACACTGCTGAGCGGGAGGCAGATGGGATGGCGCGGCTCGCAGTCTGACTGCTGCTGTGCTGTGATAAATCAGGGTGGGAGATGCTCTGTCCCTCGGAGGTTTCTGGTCTCCGTGGTGTGGTCTTTTCTGTCCCCGTACTTGTCCTTCACCAAAACAGCCTCTGGTGCTCTGGGATTTTCACATGTGTAGCTAGAGGGAAAACACTAGGATTTGAGAAGCACAACATTCAAGCTGGACTGACTTCATGGGCTTGTGAAGAACACTTCTCTTGCCTTCCCACCCTGCTCTCTCCATGCCCAGCCCCATCCAGCCACCCAGCGTGCCTCTGCAGGGCCCCTCAGAGGGGTCCTATCCCAGGCAGGGCTGAGAGTTCAGCCGTGGCTCAGGCCCTCTAGCTCCCAGCCACAGGGCAGCTGTTCTACCATCCTGTGCAGCTTGGATGTTCTTTTTCCATTCTGCCTCCACCCCAGACTGTTGTATTTATTTAGGTAGCTGAGAGGATCTCCCTGTGTACTCAGGCTGGCCCTGAACTTGGCTCAAGTGATCTTCCTGCCTTAGCTTCTGGAGTAACCTGGACCATGGTGACTCCCACTGCCACCTGGCTGCACCCCATCTTTCTAAGTCACCCGGCAGCCTCCTCTGCAGTGCTATCCTGGTCAGCCCTGTGGAGGAACGGCTCACCAGGCTGGAGCTAGACCCCAGCCTGGCCAACCCATATCAGGCTCCCAGTGGGCCTTACATCTGCTGCCCTGCTTTGTTTTTTGCTTCTGTACATTTAGATATACGTAATGTTAACAATTACCATAGGAAACAATCATGCCTGTAGATATATCTTGGTGCTTTTTTTCCCCATTCCCTCCAACACCTCTTCCTCTCCTTATTTATGAAAGCTTTACTTCCATTTTTTTTCCCCCTTCTGTTCTTTTTTTTCCCCTTGTCCTTTTCTTTCCCTCTCCCCCTTCCCTGTCCCCTTCTCATTTGAACATTTTCTTTCCATTTCCCAATATCATACATTTGGGTCCTTATTTATACTTTCAATTTCTCACACCAGAGAATGCAGTATTTAAACTTGTGTCCCATTTGTTTCACTTAAGAGTATGGTGTCAGGGTCCATCCATTGAGCTAGAAATGTCTCAAGCTTATCTTTATGGCAGAGCAGTGTGCCATTGTATTAAAAAAAAACCCCACATCTCCTTAATCCATCTGTTGAGCATTTGTGCTGTTTGCAAGATTTAGCTATTATAAACTCTGCTGCTATAAACACGGGTGTGCATAGCATATACCTCTGTGGTATGATGCTTTTAATTACTTGGAAAGATCTCAAGAAGGGGAATAGCTGGGTCAAGCAGAACCTCTAGTTAAGTTCTCTGAGGAATCTCCACACTGATTTTAACAGTGGTTGCACCAGTCTACCCTCCCACCAACAGTGGAGAAGGTTCCTTTTCCCCCACAGCTACACCATTTGTTATTGGTTGATTTCTTTTGTTTGTTTTGTTTTGCTTTTTGAGGTGGTCTCACTGTGTAGTTCAGGCTAGCTTTGGACTCACTTTGTAGCCCAGCTGGCCTCAAACTCGGCGATCCTGCTTCAGGCCCTTGAGTGCTGGGGTTACAGGCCTGTGCCACCATCCCTAGCATTTTGATTTCTTGATAGCAGCCGTCCTTTCTGGGGTGAAGTGGAATCTCAGTGTTGTTTTAATTTGTGTCTCTTTAATGATCAGTGATGTTGAGCACTTTTTCATATATTTGTTTGCCGTCTCTACTTCATCCGAGAAGTGTCAATTTACTTCAGATAACCATTTTTGGATTGGGTCTTTTAAGTTTGGGGGGTCTGATTTCTTTGAGTGCCTTAGATTCTAGATAGTAGTCCTTTGTGTGAGGAACAGCTGGAAAAAATTTTTCCCACACCGTGGTTTATCTTCACTGTGTTGGTGGTTTATTTTTGCTGTACAAAAGTTTTTGTGGGTTTTTTTTGGTGCTGGGGATCAAACTCGGGTCCTTGCGCTTGCGCAGCAGGTGGTGAAACCACTGAGTTAAATCCCTGGCCTGCAAAAGCTTTTTAATAAGATAGTATTCCAGTTGTCGATTGTGATAGTTCCTGTACAATCAGGCTTTCATTCATAAAGTTTTTGTGGACACCAAAGTCTTCAAGAGGTCTACCTATTCTATCTTCCAGGAAATTTAGTGTTTCTGTTTTAATATTTAGATCTTTGATCCATTTCAATTTGAGTTTAGTGCATGGTGAAAGATATTGGTCTAGTTTTAATCTTTGGCATGTGGAAAGCCAGTTTTTCCAGGACTGTTTCTTAAAAAGGCTGTGTTTCAGTGAAAGTGCTTGGCTCTTTTGTCAAAGATAAGGAGACTGAGTATATTTGGAGTTGTTTCTGCATCTTCTAATCTGTTCCATTGATACTCAGGGTTTTTTTATTTTATGGCCAGTACCATGCTGTTTTTATCATAGTAGATTTGTAGTATAATTTCAAGTCAGGAGTTGTGATGCCCCCTGCCATGCCTTTATTGCCTAGAATTGCTTTTGTTATTCTAGGTCTCTTCTGGTTGCAAATAAATTTTAAAATTATCTTCTCTAATTCTGTGAGATATGCTATTGGGGTTTTTTTTTTGGTACCAGGGATCGAACTTGGTACCTTGCACTTGTGAGGCATGTGGCGGAACCAATGAGCTAAATCCGTGCCCTGCTATGTGTTCAAAAGTTTGATTCAGTTCTGATATTTCTTTGTTGATTTTTTTGTCTAGTTGATGTATTTGTGACAGGAGTATTGAGGTCCCCTGTTATAACTGTATTAGTGCTTATTTGATTTTTTATGTCTGTTAATATTTGTTTTATATAGTTGTTTGCACTGGTATTTGATGCATATATATTTATGATTGCCATCTCTTTCCTTTGGATTGTTCCCTTTACAAGGATGTAGTGACCTTCTCTTTCTCTCTTAATTGGTCTTGGCTTGAAATCTACTTTGTCTGCATATAGAATAGCTACCCCTGCTTTTTTCTGGGTTCCTGTAGCATGGACTGTTGTTTCCTATCCTTTGACATTCAGCCTATGAATTTCTAGTTGAATTAAATGTGTTTCTTGTATGCAACATATTGTTGGATCTTGCTTCTTGATCCATACTGTCAGTCTGTTCCTTTTGATTAGTGAATTAATGCCATTTACATTGATAGTTAAAGCTACAGCAATAAGAATTTCTATTCCATGTGGACTTTAGATATGTGTCATGAGAGTAACTGGCAGGCTGCCGATGTGTCTGTTAGTGCTACCACATCTCAGACATGCCTGGGTGGGACTACAGGGAGAACTGGCAAGAACAGTAAGCCCACAGTTGAAACGACTGAAGTAGGGTAGGAATGACAAGTCCATTTGGAGGCCAGATGGGTAGTTGAGAGGTTCCCTTGGTATCCATGGTGGTTGATTCCAGGAACCCCTTGGGTACCAAAGTCAGATGCCCAAATCTCTTATGTAAAGTGATACAGTATTTGCAGGTAAGCTATCATGCCTGGATCCTCTCAATTCAATCTTGTTTCCTGGTTCAAGTGCTCTACTGGAGCTACCTTGGTGAGGGCTTCTTGCGCTAGGTGGCAAACTATCTGAGAGTGGCTGTGCAGAGAAGTGGGAGGTCTATTAGGGCATGAAGGAGAGGGCAGCGATTGTACAAAGTACAGCAAAGGGATCATTTCTGCATTCTTGGTGTCTGACCTCTGCACTGCACCCCTAATTTCTCGGCCAGGCCACTGGCTGCAGGAGAGTCAGTAGCAGGGCATATTCCCCTGGCACTAAGCCCAGGGCTTTGGCAGAAAAAAGTCAAATCCCCTCCTCCCCCAGGAGGAGAGGTTTAATTTGGTTCACACATTAGCTTTTTTCTTTTTAAGGAGGAAAAGGTTTTTTTGGGTGCATACATTGCCTATTTTTTTCAAAAAATGGGACTGGAGCCAGTCATGGTGATGCACATCTGGAATTCCAGCACCTGGGAGGCTAATGCAGGAGGATTTCCACAAGTTCAAGGCCAGCCTGATCTCCATAGTTGAGACCCTGTCTCAAAAAAAAAAAAAGGAGGGCCGGGGGTTTAGCTCAGTGGTTCCAGCGCCTGCCTCACAAGCACAAGGTCCTGAGTTCAATCCCCGGTACCAAAAAAAAAAGAGGGGGCTGGGGATTTAGTTCAGTGGTTCTGCCAGCTACCTCCCTCGAAAGCGCAAGGTCACGAGTTCGATCCCCGGTACCAAAATAAAAGCCAAAATGGGACTGTAAAGTTACACAATTGCAGCCCCTTAAACTCAGAACCCCTTGCCTAGTGGCAAGTGCTTCTACCCATAACATCTAAATCTGAGTCTTCCACAGAATGTCTCTCCAGGGAACAAAAGCCATCCTGGCAAACATCAGGTTGACTCTGCCCCCTCCAGCAGCCCCTACTTCTGGGTGACAAGGACATTGCTCTTTGGCTGAATACCTTCTCTAGCAATCTGCCAGAATTCTAGGTCTACCCTGCCCTCCTGTGCATTCTTCAGCATACTTATCCATCATTTACTACCAGCAAGGGCCTTAACCTTAGTCACATTTTACAGCTAAAGACTCTGCTGTCACCCCAGGATCTGTACCAGGTGCCACTGTTGACATTTTGAAGTTACTCTATTTAATCTCAAAATGCATTTTAATTATGTTTGCATAGAAGAGGAAACAAAGGCTTTACAGGACTCACAACTTTCAAGAATTCTGCTGGACATGGTGGCTCAGGCCTGTAATCCCAGCACTGGGGAGGCTGAGGCAGGAGGATTGCCCCAAGTTTGAGGCCACCCTGGGCTACATTGAGTTCAAAGCCAGCTTGGACTACATAGGAAGAAGACTCAAAAAACAAAAGGAAAAAAACTTCAACACACCACTAATGCAGTTTTTCCAGTGGTCCTGGTCAGCTCCAAACTCATTGCGTGCAAAGCCCA